AGATAGATAGATAGATAGATAGATAGATAGATAGATAGATAGATAGATAGATAGACAGACAGACAGATAGACTAAGATAGATAGATAGATAGATAGATAGACAGACAGATAGATAGACAGATAGATAGACAGAGAGATATGATGGACCGACCGACCGACAGACACAGTCATAGGGTGGAAGTTATAATTACTGTAGAAGTAAATGTTAGAAGTTAAAGATTATTATTCTGTATGTTTCAAAAGTAAAAAATAGGAGGCGATGGGTAGAAGGCTTACTAAAATGGACAAGCAAATACTGGTGTTATGATGTCACCGCTGTCAATATTATGCATATTATTGTTATTATTATGATGATTTCTCAAAATTTACTGTAGCCAGAAAATACACAGTTCGTGTTTGTAGACACTGAAGTGTTTATAAAAAATAAAAATAAAAACTTTAAAATAAAAAGAAAACTAAAGAACATTTTTTTTAAAAAGTGAATTAAAAGGGACAAAAAAAATCCAAAGTATTAAACAACCCCCCATTTGAAAGCTGAAAAAGCTATCGCAACAATAACATTTATAAATTTCGACATCAACAGGTCATCCTCATCATATGACCAAATGCCCCCCCCCCAATTTTTGTCACTAAGCAGAGACGTTGAAGAGAATTACGCGCCAATTTTTATAACCTTATATTTGACGCAATTGTGAAACGAATCACTACCGTTCTTAAACGAGTCCCCTCCCGGGTTGTTCCCCCTTTTGTGCTTGACTGTCATAAATACAAGTCAATCGCCAAGCGTCTGAATTTTGATGACACAACCACGGGGAATGCTACCCTGGTCATAAGTGTGAAACATGGTTGTCGCGGCCGTCATAAATGTGAGTCAGATGGAAAGCATCCACATGGAAATCTTGTGACCAAGGAGATGTTGCGACAGTCATAAGGGTGAAAAACGGACTAACAACTGCACCAACTAAAATAACTGGTGATTCACTTAATGACCGTGGCAAGAACAGTCGTAAAACGGGGCAAAATTCACAACTGTTTCACTTGCAGTCGTAAATCGAGGACTGCCTGTATCTCTGCTGGGTCCAGGGTCAAATATCTTCTCCTTCCTGTCTCGCTTTAGGACATGCCTCCTGCAGGCCGATTCGGAGCGCCACCTACAGGCCTGGATGTGCGCCGTCCAGAGTAGCATCGCCTCGGCGTACAATGAGGATCACCCAGAATCCTCTGGGCAGGTAAGATCTAGGCCAAAGTTGCGACCAGGTCCTTGCAAGAGGCATGGGGGTCCTGAGGTCCTCGTTTTACGACCGATTGTTTAATGATGATTTGAAGTTACGACGGCCCTGAAAAATGGGGTGTGGCTTGTGCTGACGTTATGACCGTCACACCACACCCCTTGGGTGTGGTCATGTGATGACAATTGGGGCACTCAGGAAGGGTCTCGCATTACGACAGTTGAGGGAATTGGGGGGGCTCCATTGTGGTCGTAAGTCAAGGACTTACAGCTTCCTAATGGTGAGAAAAATTAGCCAGTGGAACTGCTTGCCAACAGAATTTGTGGGTGCTCCATCCCTGGAGGTTTTTAAGAAGAGACCGGACAGACGTTTGTCTGGAATGGCATAGGGTGTCCTGCTTGGGAAGGGGGTTAGACTAGATGACCTCCAAGGACCCTTCCACCTCAATTCTGATTGCATTACATACATATTTTTACATATATTACATACACACAGCATATTATATACATACCTTTAGAACTTTAGGTATTTCTCTGGAACGGTATCGGAACTCTGGGGGTTGGACTAGATGACCCTCCAAGGTCCCTTCCACCTCTATTCTGATTACATTACGTTACACACGCATAATGTCTCCTGCCTGAGCCAGGGGTTGGACTAAATGATCTCTGAGGTCCCTTCTATTCTGATTGCATTACCTATTTATCTGAAATAGTCTGGGACATCCTGCTTGGGAAAGGGGGTTGGACTAGATGACCTCCGAGGGCCCCTCCATGCCTGCTTTTGCTGATAATGCTTCTTTTTTTCTCTCTCTTTTTTTTGTGGGAGGGGCAGCATCTGGAGCGGAGCGCCTCCCTCACGGCGGCCACCCTGCAGTCCCCTTCCAGCCGCAAACTCCGGGGCGGGGTGGACAAGCACGTGGTGGACCGGGTGCAGCGGCTGGAGGGCAACGCCCAGTGTTGCGACTGCCGGGAGGCGGCCCCGGAGTGGGCCAGCATCAACCTGGGCATCACCCTCTGCATCGAGTGCTCCGGCATACACAGGTGCCTCGGGGCGAGGAACCCGAACGGGGGTTGGGCTAGATGACCTCGGGGGCGGGGGGGTCCATCCCATCCCCACCCGTCCCCGTCCCTTTGATGGAGGTTTTTAAGAAGGGATTGGACAAC